AAGATCCGCTAAATGCAGAAAGCCCGTCGCAGGAAATCGAACGGCAACACTGCTTTATATTGCTTTCGGGGGTATCAGCCGACACAGCCAAGCAAGATGTGACCCAAAAGGCCAAACATATGCAAAGCAAAGATGTCTGGAAGCCAACTGCAAGGTCATTCTACAAAAACAAAAGCCCAAGGCCACTTTGCAACTGCATCCCCATTGCCTGCTTGCAATAAATCGGCACGGAGATGTTGGCAATCGACAGGGGCCACACATGGCCAAACAGCCAAAATCTCAAAGCCACTGTACGGTTACTTCAAGGAAGGGGAGAAGGGAGCTTTTTCGACCAAAAGCGCAAATGCTGCCTCACGACGCCGTTCATCCACACTAATACCGTTTCGCACAAAATCTCCCTCAAGCCGCTGGCGGCGTAATGCGGCCAATGCGGCGAACATGGCCGCTTCGTTTGCTGAACGTGTTGGGCAATGCGTCACGTGCTGCAAATTGCAGGGATAGAGGCAAAAGCCTCTGCGACACGGTCAATCCTCTCACACAAGCTGATGGCATTGTTGTAAGTAATCCCGTCTAGTACAACAGTGCTGTAGCGCATGGCTTCCACAAGGCGCAAGGCCTGCTGCCAGCATTTAGCTTTCCCACAGGAGCTGAGGACCGAGTTGAAGCTGACAATATCTTGCTGGATCTTGACCTCGGGCATTGAATTGAACAAAAGCAACGCATCCTGCCACTTCCCAGCCTTCCCACAGGCGCTGATTGCCGCATTGTAGCTGATCAAATCCGGGCCTGGGCCAAACCGCATGGCGCCCAGCAGCGAGAGGGACTGGCCCCACGCGGCGGATTCCTCACAAGCGCCGATGGCGCCGTTGTAGGCTGCGCTGTCCCGCCTCAACGCCGCTGCTGCGATGGCATGAAAGATCTGTAGGGCCTGTGGCCACTGGGAATGCGCTTCCCGGGCGAAGCAGGCGCCCAGCGCGCTGAAGCTGACGACACTCCGCCGCACTGACGCCATGGCCCGAAAGAGGCCCGCGGCGCATCGCCACTGGCTGGACGTTAGCGAGCTGAGCACCGCGTTGTGGCCGACCACGTCGGCCCTCTGCTCGTTCTGTGCCATGGTCTGAAACAGATCCACGGCCTGCTGCCACTGGCTGGCCGGCGCACATGCACTGATGGCCGCGCTGAAACTGAAAGCGTTGGGCTCAACCTGGGCATCCTGTACCTCGAGTACACGCATCGCCTGGCACCACTGCCCACGCTTCTCGCAAGAGCTGATTGCCCCACTGAGGGTGAAAACGTTGGGCAGAATCTCACCACACCACATCACCTCCAAGATTTGCAAAGCCAGCTTCCACTCCTGGCCCTTCTCGCATGCACTGATGGCTGCACTGTAGCTGAACATGTCTGGCTGCACTTTGGCCAGCGACATGCTTGAAAACATCTGCAACGCGTTTGCCCAAAGGTTCCCCTTCTCGCAGGAGCTGATGCCCGCGCTGAAGCTGACGACGGTAGGCCCAACCCTCGCCTGCGGCATCGACCTCAAGACGTGAAGCCCTGCCTCCCAGCAGCTCTGCCTGTTGTACGAGCTGATGCCTGCATTGTATCTGATGGCACCTGGGACACGCCGTTCCCGCATCATGTACCGGGATGAAGTCGTCCCCAATCGCCATCCCAATCGCCATGCTGAAGAAATGAATAGTGAATGGCTGGCTACCTACCCAGTCTCAAGGCGCACATCCAACATTTCTTAGACAAATGAGGCTCTCTTTCTGTGGCGCCAACTTTTGCTGACCCTGTTCTTGCATGATCTCTTTCATGAAAAAGCAAAGCGCTCACCGCCACAAGCGCTGCTTGTCAGCCAAATGGCGGCACAACTTTAGGACTCCAACACCTGAAAACACATTCTCTTTGACATGCCTTGCTGGAGGGGGCATGAACCTTCCTCAGTTTGGATTGCCTCCACCCGGAACCTGTTTGCGCGCGGAACTTCCTTCGCTCTTGATCGGGCAAGCAGGCCTCAGGCCCATATGTTCCATGACATTGAGGTGCTGAGGCTGGCTGGCTGGTTTTGAGGCTTCCTCCACACGCCATGCTCAACTTGCTTGCACATTTCAACTCGAACCAAAGACCCCCTATGCAGCCGTTTTGGAGGTTGCCTCCATAGCCCGACTTGACATTTCATACCTGCTTCTCCGAAACCCATGAAAGAAATGATGGTCAAAGGGGGAATGCTCATCATCCCTGTGCTTTCCTTCCATTTGCCTACGGCCTACACTTAAAATGAAACGTTTGCCAGTCTCGTTTGAAACCTACCAAATCCGCTTGGCCATATTTAGCCCCGCAAAAAGCTAATTTGTTTCTGGTCGGAAGCAAAGGTGCAGCAAGCCCCCCTCCGTCCACTGGCGTGGAGCCTGACTTGGGAGGCTCTGGCTGGGCTGTTCAAAATGGAGGGTTGGCCAATCCTAATCCATAATCCCAATAGGAAAGCCACTACAAAGGGGACCCCAAGCGTAACCCCAGGTAAGGATTAAGGATTACCTTTGAACAGCCCAGCAGTCTGGCGGGTTCCATGTCGTTTAAAGGACCCCCGCCCGGCCCCGACATGGGCTTCGGCGGCCTTTCTGCCGCACGAGGTTCGCGAGCGTGGCCAGGTCCTGCACCTGCTTCCTAAGCTGTGGTCGCCGTGTTTGTTTTGGTTCCGCAGCTCTTTGCTGGAAACAACCGCCGTTTTTCAGATGCCAAACCTCGTTTTTCAGAGGCCAAACCTCTGCAAAACCAAAAAGAGTGAGAACGCGTCAAAGAGCTTTGGGATGGAAGATCAAATCCAAAAGCCTAATCCAAAGACATAAATAATAATCTCTTCCCCCCTTTTAAAATACGCCCCCCCTATTTTAAATAAATCCCCCATTTAAAAAATAAAATAAAAAATGATGGGCTTTTGGGGTTGGCGTTTTTTGCTTTTCCGACAATGTGAGGGTTCACATAGGATTTGGAGGACATGGATTGAATTGTAAGGTCCGCGAGTAAGCGGTTTAATAATGTTTAATCAGGACATTTTATGTATCATTCTATTTGTTTTTCAGTTTACGGGTTGTTTGCTTGCAGCCAGGCAGGTTAATTAGCCAGCATGTACGGGAGAGAGACAGTCGCAGCTAGACAGCTTTTGGGGACATGTTTGGCAGGAAGCCAGGAAGCCGCGCGAAAAGAAAGAGGTCAGAGAGTCAGGGAGTCAGGGACAACCAGGGACAACCTTTTGGGGAGAGAGTCAGGGACAACCTCTTGGGGAACCCACCAAAAGGACCCAACCTTTTGGGGAAGCCAGCTTTTGGGGAAGCAACCTTTTAGGGAATTCATCTTTTGGGGAACCCACCTTTTTAAAAGTGGGGCTGGAAGCTTGTTAAAAGTGCCCCCTAATAAGGATTCCAAGACTTTAGTATTGGTTTAGTATTGGCGCAATGGAAAATCAATTGTGCGGAGTGCAAATCTGGTCCCGGGGCCCCGGATTTCCATTTTTTTTTAATTGGGGTCATTCATTAATAGGGGGAACGGATTACACTGCCAGAGACCAGATAACACTTGCTTTTGCCCTCCTGCCTTTGTTACTGACATAATTGTTTACCCCCCCCCCACCACCCTAGAGGTGGATCAAAATCAAGGCGTTTTGTAAATGTCAATTGCGAGGTAACTTACAGGAGTACTCTAGCCCCTACACAACTAGGCAGCATGGACCTTCCAAGTGTGGATGATTTGAATTGCTGCATCTAACGAAACTTACAGGCTCCAGGCATAACTGACCCTCTCCAGTAAAGCTCTGCCAAGGCTCTGCAGGCTTTTCCACTCCTTCTCAGCCCAGCGGCATCTGACCAGCACACTCCGCGCCTGAGCTGAACAAAGCCATGTCCTCTTAGCCTCGGACTCTTCCGACCCCCTTGTATCCATTCTCTTCACGCAACGAAAAATGGATTCTGAAAACTTGCTCCGAGGCTCGAAGCTTTGGATTCGCAAAGCTGATCTTTGTCTTTGCTCCTCCTCCGCTGCCTCCTGAAGGTTCCCCCCGGTTCAGGAATATGCGGAGTTGGCCAGTGAAATAGCCGATGGGGCCATCTCAACGAACAATAATCCATCCCCTTTGCTTCCAGCACCTAAACAGGCAGCGCAAGGCTCACTCCAAGCAGTCCTTGGCACTTGTCTCGCGGAGCCGTTCTCTCTCCTTGACAACGCGGGTCCATGCTGCAGCCCCCCACTTTGCCAGTATCCTACCCAATGGCCTCAACAACCTTAGCTCGCACAACATCAGGATCTTATGGCAAGCAAACCACAACCTGGTACGGCCGGGCCTGCCGCTTCTTCTCCAGATCGTGGAGCAGGGCGGCTTTCGACGACATGCGCCGGGGAACATGGACCGCCGCCGCGTGGCGAAAGCCAAGCGGGTGCAACACAAATACCCCAGCCCTGCTATGGCGTGTGCGTGTGCGTGTGTGTGAACAACATGTGATATGTGGGCACTCCGTAAATGTTGGAAAACATCTGTGCGCCCTGTGAAACTCTCAGCGCCCGTGGCTGTGGCCAGCTGGTTCTGCCAGTCCCGCATGCTGATTCTCGCCCACATGGCGCTAAGTAGTTGAGTTGGACCAAACCGGACGCATCGGCCGCAGAGTAAGAAGTGCGCAAGGCCTCCGATTCAAAACTGAGCCCCTCAAGGCACAACAAGTAAAACACCTATCAGGCACACATTTGCAAGGAACTATGGGCACACGCTGAACTGGGGTCAGATGCAAATCCTGCGGACAGGACTCTGATGCCAACGGAGCAGGCAATGAAAGAAGATCTTCCGAGCACAGGGCGCGGGGGTTTCTCTTTTCACAAGAAAGCGGGGGCCCTCAAATCCCCCTACCCATTTCCAAGTCCCAGCACGAAAATGATTCGTCCTTGGAGAACCCCCCTTTTGAGGGGCACACCCACATAAAACTGATCGACTGGGTCCGTCCCTGAGGCCCCCTGGCTCCGGCGTCCCCAAGCTCACGCTCGGCCGTCATGGCCCTCAGTGGCAAGAAGTGCTCACCAAACCTCCCGATGTTTTTCCCTGCATCACCCCAAGAGGAAACTCACCGAAAACATGTCCAAATGATGTTTGTAGTGAGGGGGAATTTGGCTGGAAGGAGGTTGAGTGCATCCGTTCACAGGACTCCAACCCATCCCTCATCACAAGGGTGGGCCACCAGCTTTAATCGGGGCTTCCTTCCATCCAAGAAATGTGGCGTGCGTCATTGCAACGTCCAACATTGCCTAGATACCAGCTAATTTAGTGGAATCTGGCATAATCTGGCCACCAATCGGTTGTCTGCCTCATTTGTGAAACTTCCACTTCACGTTTGCCCCGGCCTCAGCCGTGCTTCCGCCTCGGCCAGGGCTGAAGCCTCCACGCCCGCAGCCCTGGCCTGGGCGAGGGACCCGGAAGTCGCGTCCCCTAAGGCGAGCGACCCCGCGGCCGTTGAGCACAAGCGGGCTCCCAGCGTACTGTATGACACATATGACACATACCCCGTTCTTGCCGCTGGATCATGCGGCCCTTTTAATCCAACTTTGATAGCTTGCATCTGATGGAATGAAGAAGTGTGGAAAGCCCAACTTTTCAAGCTGGCCGCGACCTAACCGTTTGCCCACACTACGTCTTTAAATTTCCCGGGCTGGGGACCTATGGCGCGTTGAAGGCCAAACAAGTGAGACTGTTGTTGCCGCTTCCTATCTGAGGCCAGCAAAGCAACAGGCCAGGTCTCGCTGAACGGCCGGTGCCTCCGAGAGGGTTGAGCTCAAGCAGGCTTCATCATGCGCCTGACAGCACCCAGTACAACCGCACCTGCCAACCTTCGTCCCACCAGCATGATCACTTCCCGGTCAAACTTGAAGTGCCAACCTTCTGTTAAAACCTTGTGTGACCGAAAACGACGGTGCCAAGAACCAGCCTCGGCCAATCCATGCCTCAGAATGAACCTGTCGTAGGCAAACTCCGCCTTGGGCTGAGTAATGCGGTGTAGCCATGCAACATACTGGCGCGGACGATGCAAAAGCAACGCTAGGATACGCCTGGGTCAGAACGTCTGTGTGGCAGGCGGGGCCGGAGGGGTTATGGGCAGATTCGATTGCCTTGTGCTGGTCCAAAGCCAAGGGTGTCCTGAGGCGCCATCTGCATCCAAGTCCGTCACATCTACGCCTGCCTGCGGAGTTTGCGCATTGCTCCGCCGACAGCTTCCGCAATGTTAGGTCAAATGAAGTGGGACTTCATCGCAGCGTTGCACCCGCGCTCCGAAACTGAAACGGCCTCTAGAGACATGATGGTTCGGTCCAAGCAACCCTCCCATAGTCTTCAAGCGCCGTGGCGCCTCCGAGCCGGAGAGGGCGCAGAGCCACACGCCGTGCCGGAAAGACGCGCCAAAGGTGTCCTGGCGGAATCGGCCGGCACCGGGGCACCTGTCGGCTGCGGGTTTGATGGAGGTGCCGTCTGGACATTGGCCAAGATGACATCAACACCTCGAGTTCCAGTTTGCCAAACCATGGAGAAACCAAGCAGCGGGCTAGGGGGTATGTTTGGCCACGCGCTGTGAGGGGTGACCTATTCACACACCAGCTGAGTGGCTTGAACCTCCATCTTGCCACCCATCAGTCACAGCACCCAAATCGCTCAAATCTCAGGAGTTGGCTTCAAGATTCAATGAGCTTCCGCCAAAATTTTCGACAAGACTAGACTGAGCTATTGACGCGCGCGCGGGAAGCACTAACACTGAAGCTGCCAACTGTCAAGTAAATGTTCAGCCAAATACGGTGGCGTATGTGGCCTGAAAGAGGCTCAGAACACTCTCTTTGTATGGCTGGGGATGGCCTGCCATTCACCCACAATTTCCCTGACTGCCACTACAGCACCTCTGGAATTTCCTCAAGAACGAACCCATTGGCGGGTGTTCGTGGCTGGGATCGAGGGTATCCCGGCTCTTGCCTCCCACCAGCCCGGCTGTTCGCCTCGCAGGTGTCTGGTGGCAGGCCAACCAGCGAGAGCTTGTCCACCTGCGCGCTCCGGCAAGTGGCATTTCTGGCTCGCACAATTTATCTGCGAATGAGGGGCTTGATCCTGGGAGATTTGGAAGGTGTCACTGCTGTTGATGCAGGCAGCATACGGCCGTCGAGCAGCCAATTCAGATCAGGCATGCATCAATTTGGGGGGTGCCCTGAATCCTACAAGGACTTTCTTTGGCCATTGGCCATGGTGGGCGCTATGGATGGTTGTGGATTTGTTTCTTTGGCTCGCGGCCATCCAGAGCCCTCTGGCACAGCCCCCAAGCTGCCTCCATGACGACATCCCCTACCTTCAGGAGCGGCTGGCCCGGCTTTGAATCCACCTCCTGTGCCAGGCTGTTCATGCTCCTTTCGTTGATGTGTTAGCTTGCTCTCTCTCTCTGTTTGCCCTCTGTTTGCTTGCTCTCTCTCTCTCTCTCTCTCTCTCTCTCTCTCCTTTTTTCTTGTTGTTGCTCTTTTGTTTCCTGTCTCTCTCTCTCTCTCTCTCTCTCTCTCTCGCTCTCTCCCTCCCTCCCTCCAGCATCCTTGAGCAGGTCTGGGTGCTAGTGTGATGATCTTGTCGGCTTGCTGATGGTCTTTGGCCCGTCAACATTGCGGCAAAGGAGATCAATGCCAGTATTGAACTGCATGTTGTTTTACCTCGAGCCTTCTCTGCTGATTATTAAACACTGACTGCCTTGCTGCGGGAAAAACAGCCATGCAATGCAAGCAGCAGCACATCAAATCACCGGAGCTTGGATAATGATAATACCAGGGCGCAAGCAAAAAAAAACAAGTCCCTTCGTTTGTGGAGCTTCTTGCAGATGCGATTTGACAACCAGTCCCAGTGATCCGCCGCTTCGCGCAAACACACATTTGCATGAATTCCCGTCCTCGACCACCATGCCCCAGCGGGTGGGCTGCAAGATCATGCCGCAGCCTCTCAATACAGACATGAACCAAAGACAGCACACGAAGGCGGCATCGCTCGGGGGCTGAGTGACATCGTCGACCAAATCATTTGCTCTGAAGTAGTTTGAGAGCAAATGAATTGGTCGACAATATCACGGCGCGCTCTCGAAACCAAACTCCGTCCCTTAAGCGGCATGCTGGACCTCTCCGGGGAGGGGGCACTGGGGCCACGGCCAACCTTGTCCACCACACGCAGCTGCATCCGCCTCATCTCCCGCCCTGGCACCCTGTGCCAACAATTTGGGAAGCCAACCCGTGCGAACAATTAAGGGCCTCTGTGTTCTGAGAGCCTTTCTGGGGCCTCAAGCCTCTCCATACCAATCCCACCGCGGCACCACGACGGCCCCACAAACTGACCCCAAGGCTCGTATCACAGCCTGGGGCAGCCGCTTCAGCCCTGGCACCTTCGGCAAGGCATGGCCTGGCACATGGAAGCAAGAACCCAGCGGCACAGCTTGGGGTTGCCTCTTTGCATTTCTGTCCTCTCATTTTCCGGGAGAAAACTGGGCCAAATCAAGGTTTGTTCTCCTGTTGTTTTTCCTGCTCAAAATCTGAAACGGAGCCTCAAAAAGTGACCAAATGGAAAACCTAGGCTACGTATCACTTGCATGTTGTTGGGCTGTTGGTCCTGCATCGCGTTGACATGCCCAAAATAAGAACACATATGACTCGTGTGGAACATTCGCTAACTGCGTGTCCTGACCAGTCCCAGCCCCGAAACCCGTGAACAAAGCTGAGCTGACACAACGCTCGCCAGCGCTAGCCTTCACAAAAGCGTCTTCCAACACCTCTGCTCTCGCAGCGCACCCCGCGCTGCGCGCCTCGCACCAACTCCTCTGCCGTCGGCGCCTCTGGCGCTTCCCGCTTCACCGAGGATGCGTCTGCCGTCACGGGCGCCGCCACCGGCGCGGAGGACGCCACTTTGGGCTGTGGCAAGGGCTCCTGCTTCATGGCCGCCACTGCCCTGCGCCGGGAAGCTTTGGCGAACCCAAGCAACGCAGAGCGCCAACCCAACAGAGTTGAAGACGCTAAGCGTGACGCCTCCGCGTACAAAGTAGACAGCCAATCACCAACTGCTCAAACTCCTGGCCTGAGCTGCTCCTCGAACAACAGCGAAGTGAGCGTCTCCTCTGCTGCCTGGCCGAGTCAGCCTTATGGTTGGCCGGTGAAACGTTGCATTTGGTATGACAAATGTGCAAGTAATGGATACTTGGCGAAGACTAGCACGCCCTGATGGAACCTGATTGTTCCGCTTGGGGTAGGCAGTATTTCGTCTTTGCCAGTCGTCCAGTAGCAATGGTGGAGTTTTGCAGCATCGAGTTTCTTGACTAAGAACATCTAAGAACATTCTGTTTGTAAAGTCGAGCTCATTCCACGACAGGGCAGGGGTAGGTTATTGCAGCTCACTCGGGGCATCGAGCTATGCATGACACCACGTGCAAGTCGTTGACTGCAGGCATTTGAGCGCCCCGTCTCAACATGCATACTCGTTCAAGAGGCCCGGATCCCTCAAAACCACAATCTGAGGATTCGTGCCAGTTGGACAAGGCGAAAGTTGTGGCTTTCCGCTCCTGCAGGTCGCCCGCGTTGACCTCCGCGGCACCTGGGCTTGGTGAAACAAGCGGAACCACCCAACGGACGTCTGACAGAAAGGGATCTGTGCGCTTCCATGTTTGCAAAACGGTTGGGCCCCCCGACACCTCGAAAGGAAGCCGCTTCTGAACATCCCCTTTCCCCAAAAGGTGGTGCTTCCATGTTGCCTGTGCGCGTGGGCAACGCCCCAACCAAAGCGCTTCAGGCGCCGGACGGGCTTCATCCAAGGCCTTCTTGAGCGCCTGCCAGCGACCCCTCTCTGGTGGCCAGGGCCCCGTTTGGTTCCGTGGTTTCGTTGGCGTGTCACATCTTCTGACTTGTGCTTTTGGTTGGTATCAAGAGGGGAAACCAGGGTTTTTGGATAGGAAGCCAAAAGCACATGACAAGAAGCCAAAAGGAAACGAGTTTCTCTGGTGTAACAGGCGTGCCATCACTTTGTTTCTCTTCCTGGGCTTGCTCTCTGTGATCTGCAGGTTGGGGGAGACTTAACTCTTGCAAATCGAAACGTGTCAGCTGGCGATGGACTCAATTTTGGCCCTAAAAGCAACGCCCAGCAGGCGCTGGAAAGCGCTTGGAGTTCTCAGGAGCTGGCTGCAATGTTCTGGCTGGTCGCTGCCTCAGCCAAACGCGCCTCTATTGCCTGGTGGGACTAAGGCAGGCGCCGTGTCATGGCGTCCTTCTCCGCTTTCTTCCCCCAGTAAGAGGTTTCAAAGGGAGATGGCTACGCGGGTCCCGTTCATCCTGCGCGCTATTTCTCTCACTCATCCGCCCAAATCTAGGCCTCCGCACAGCCTTGAGCATCGTCAGGGCCTGGTTGACTCAATGAATGAAGGCCCAACTGGGCAACAAATGCCAACCAGTTTCAAGGGATCATGCCAAGCTTCCCCTGCCAATCCATCAAATGCAAGGGGGTGCCAGGTCAATCTACGCCTGAACCATGTTCTGAAAATTGAAGCGTCACCTCTGGCTCTGCCCATGATGCATTGCAGACCGAACCACTTCCACAAAACAGACCCATGCATGCATCATTCGTTGTACTAAATCATGACATTGGGACGGCCACACAAAGCTCCCTTCACATTCTCAATTGATCCCTTCAGTTTGTGGAATATGTTTACGGCACAAGTAAGTAAGTAGCTGCTGGATGTGCGAAAGCTCCTGAGGTTTCTGTTTTTTTGGGGGAAGCTTTGTTACTTCTGTACTTGTTTCATATGAACGCCTCGTGTTAACGCAAGGCAAAGAACCGAGCTCCTTCCATGCGACTGCAGCGGCACAAGTAAGTGCAGAGAAAAAAGGAAGAAAGAAAAGAAGAAACGAAAAGCGGTGAAAAAGAGAACCACGGAGAAAGAATGCCTTGCAAAACTGCCCCAAAGCGCCACAACACTGTCATAAATTGCCAAAACACGCTTCAACAAGAAACGGGGTCCAGCCCCGCTTCTGGAATACGCGGGGAGGGCGGCCAGGTTGGCTGTGAGAAAAGCTGTGCGCCACGGTCAAAACACTTCAGGTCGTCATAGTCGTAGTTCCATGAGTTGGACCTTTTACATCTTGACATTGGTTTTCTAGCGCCCCTTTTGAGAGGATGATGACCATCTCTATCATCCAAGTAAATGGGGTCTGGCACATGTATCTTAAAAAAAAAAAAAAAAAAAAAAAAAAAAACGTGACTGACACAGCTCTGGCTCGCTGAGAATCCCTGCTCGCTCAGCCCGCTCCTCCTGCAAGCGCTCCTCAAGCGCTGCCTGCGAACACGTTAAAAGGGAACTGGGGGCCAGCGGCTGGTTCCTTAAACAAATCATCCGCCCAACCCTGGCTTCCGACCCAGTTGTGCTACAAGACATGGAGCAATAGCAAGAATGGGACCAAGACGCACCAAACAGCCGTTCCACCCAAGAGTCTTGATGAATCTTCAGCACAAAAGGGAGAGCACACCTGCTTTTTGCGGAAAGCTCGGGTTTATTGATCAAAAACTGCATAGACAAGCACTTGTCTCAACCCTGGCCACGGCGTTGCTGACGCCGCCTGAATCAGGTTTCTTCCTGAGTTATTCTGTTGTTTTTGGCCCGTGGCAAATGCCCAGTGATTGCCAGTCCTTGTGATTGCTCAAGTCGCCTGTGCCTTCTTTTGCTACCTATGCTGACAAATGCACCGGTCACTGCCGAGAGGAACGGCCGCCCATGACCGACCAGCGCTGCAACGCACCTTTTGACAACTGTGGAGAAAAATGTGCGCTTTCGCAGGTTATAACAATCAGGGGATGGGCTCCCCAATCTCCCCCTCGTTGGGGTCCAGGCCCTGTGTGTCCTCGTTCGCAAAGATGGGAAGCCGGTTTCGCAGGTGGACCCGGTCGATCTCCCACATCAGTTCTTGGGACAAAGGCTCCTGCAGGGTGACCCAAGCTTGACTCGCTGTTCAGGACCGCTGGGGTACCTGAAAACCACTCAGAAAGCAAACAAGGAGAGTCCAGCAATCCACAAACACCTTGAAGAGCCCTTTGGAAACCGGTGGCTGCGGGTCTGCCCGTCGAAACCGCCCAGCCACGACCCGGTGTCTCTCCCTCCTGTGCGGACATGGCCTTCAAATCCTCCTCCAGCTGCGCCAGGGACGTATGGCCCACCAGCGCGGTGGTCATGCCCGGCCGCTGCCTTGCCCACCTGACAGGGAGTTTTCCCCCCACCGCACATTTGTGGAAACGGCACGCCCTTCTAGCAAACATCAACGCGCAACAAGCGCTGGGCGTGCTTGTTCATGCGGCAAACCCCGGATGACAAACAATCGGTTGGCTCGGGGGGGGGGGGGGGCTTAGAGCTTCGCCCTGCCTCAGCGCTAGGTCTGTCAGAGGCAGACCTGCCTCTTTGGCCAGCTGGGCGTAACGGCGGGTGGCGTCCTGATAGGCCAAAACGGGCAGAAGGGGGTCCTCCCCCCAGCCCCCCACTTGGCCCCTTCTGGAGGAGTTGATCAAGTGTCCTAATACAAAGTTGACATTGGCAGAAAGTCTTGGGATTGGGGCGCCATAGGCTTCATGTTGCCAATTTGTATTGATCTAGGGGCTGCCTAGTTCGTGTGTCCAATTGGGAACCAGCAAACAGGCGATAGGAGTTACTCAGGAACAAGCTGTGCCTACCTTTGGGTGTTCGTTTCTCCCCTGCCCATCTTTCCCATTCAAAGACCAACCAACTTCTTCCCTGGCACTAGTTGAGCCTCACCCAAAAAGAAAAAAAAAAAAACGGTTGGCTTCCCAATGGACTGTCTTACACAAAAAGTTGTCTAGATAGAATTTGCAGAAATCAATATGTGGCTTCAGCTCCGGGAACCTGCGACTCCTTGACCCCTCGGCAGCCGAGCCGAAGCCGAAGCCTCTCCTTGGCCGCGGCGCTGCGGTAGCGGTACAGCGTGGGGCCCCAGGAGAGGTCGTCCATGCGCCCGCGGGGCGCCGCGGTGCGCGCCAGGCGCGCCACCGGGTTGGGCTCGTCCGGGGCCGCGGGCACCTCCGTGGTTGGGGGGGAAATGGGTGAATCCAAAAATTGGTGTCCTCGTTTGCAAAAAAACAACGAACAAAAGTGGTGCAAATGGACGCAGAAGCAAGTTTAACACTTTTTCAAGATGCAGCGTCTTTCAAAAATCAAGGGACTGGCTTCCAAAAAAACGCCAGCAAACCATGGATGTCGAACCCCCTTGTTTTTTCACCAAATGGTCTGGTATGGTCTAAAAAAGGTGGCACCTCCAGGTACTTGCCCGTGAGCATGCCCCCGGCCAGGACATTGTAGCCCATGAAACCCACGTCCTTCGTGGGCCCCCAACAAGTGAAAATCGTCAATGGGCTCCTCCACTGGGAATCAACCATCGGCTTGTCCTAGGATTTCAGAAGATGAGCAGGCTTCAAAAAGTGAAGTTCACCTGGGCAAAGGAGGCTGCTATCAACCTGACAGCATCGGGACCACCAGGTGTGGGTTCCTATTCTGCTTTAGCTTTTGCTTCCTTTCCATTGCCCTGGATCCTGCCCTCCCCACGCTCTTGCCCTCCCGGCCCTCTCAGTTCCTCGTTGTAGGGCGAGCACATCTCAAAGAGGCCATTCTCCTCGCAGCGACGGTTCAGCATGGAGTAGTCCTCAGTTCTCCACCCATGGCGCTTCAAGGAAGCTGCATGTGTAGATCTGTGTACTATACATGATTACGCACACACGTGTTAGTATATGAGCGGTTGTTTGTAAACATGAACGAGCTGCTTGCTGTGTCTTGATCCTTGTTCATCCTGGGCAAAAACAATATAAGGATGGAACCCACAGAAGCAAAGCCAACAGTATAGGTTCAAGATGCCTAAGGCCCCAACTCCTAATCCACAATCCGTAGTGGAACGCCACAAAACAAACTGCCATCCTAAGGATCTTTGAGACTGATTTTGAACCCTCGAAAAGGGTAAACCCAGACCTCCAGTGGCAATGGGTGAAAATTGGGCCTCGCATTTTGGTAGGTGGCTGAATTTTGATAAATTCAGAACAAGGATCTTGCGGATTGATTTTTCACCCTCGAAAAGGGCAAACAAATGAACAAAAGCCCCTTCCTTAAACGAACAAGCCACTTCCTTACATGGGTGTGGGTCAAAACTAGGTACCCCGAGACCCCGGTAAATGGAAAACCATGGACTAAAACCTGCGGTTTGCTTGTGGTTCAATTCTCATCATCTGTTAACCCCCCTTGCAAAACGTTTAACTTTCTGGGGGGTTCAGTGGAAACCACCCTGTATTTCCCAAAAAGGTGAAGGCCTAAAGATCCAACCCAAGAGCGGTCAAGATGATTTTGACCCCTTCCTTCACCTTCCTTCAAGCCCTTTTGGAGAGACGACCAATTCGAAATTCGAGGCGGGGGGGCGTTCTGGAAGGCGCAGGGCGGAGTGGCGCCCAGGGCCTTGGCGGTGGCCACCAGCCGCGTGGCGCCGTAGACGCTCTCGTTGCAGCAGCCCCAGCCCCGGATCTTGCCCTCCTGAAGGAGTCAGTCGGGGCGGGCGGCGGGGCGTGGGGCGCCACCCCACAAAAGTTGCGCCTCCCCCCGGCTAACTAACCCAAAAAGGGGCCTTAAACGCCCTGAAAATACCTGTTGCTTCTTCTTTTTTTTTTGGGGGGGGGGTTGCCCTAAGAACAAGAATCGACCGTGGAGTTTTGGATGTTCGGGCTTGAAGGTGGAAGCGCTCCAGTGTTTTCTTACCCAGAGTTTGCACTTTCTGCTCTCCTTCAAAACCTAGCCGTGGGAAAAGAAACAACAGGCTCAGATTTTGAAAAGGCCAGGGGACAAGGTCGGAGGTCTGACTCATTCACAAGACCCGGTACCCGGGTTGCCCATTTGTTGGCATAATCAAGGGCCGGAAAATCACGGCCGCCGGCCGTGCTGAAGAAGTCTCCCCTGATCAAACCCGTAACTGTGTTGCAGGCAGTCTTCACTTGTGTCAAGGACAAACCCTCGATGGGAAGCCTCCAGCGGCAAACAAGGGCGCGCCATTGAAATCACCAAAAACAAGCACCCTCAGCAGCTCCCCCTCTCAAAAAGAGTCAACTGGGCGAACAAACAGGACACGCCAGCTGGGAGCCACCCTCATGCCGCCGGATGCAAGAAGGTGCACCAAGAAGCAGCTGCAAGAATCAAGTTGGTTCTAAAGGCACCTGCCGCGGCAATTCTAGAATGGCTGGTCGTCCCCTCTGTCGCCCGTCTCCTTCACCAGCTTGTCCATGGCCTTCACCACCTCTTCGAAGGAGGCCTGCCCCTCCCGCCGCGCGATGCGCTCAAAGTTCTGGCGGTATTGCAGCGACTGACCCCAGTTCTGCTGCGGCTGGGACAACCGGAAGGACCAGTGGGTCAGGTAGACATCCACATAATCTGTCTTCAGCCTGCGTGACAGCTCATGTCAGCCGCACCCAGCCCAGCCAAACCTTACATTATAGACTTGTTCCCTCGGCAGACCGCCAATGCAAACCAATTGCCAAGCGAATACAAAGTAACAACGGCGAGAGGTGATTGTCTACAACTGTTCCAACCTGTTGACTCCTCAACGTGGTGGCAGACCCTGGCTGGCGACCAATTCGCGCAGAAAAGCATTCTTGCCTCTTCAGCGAAGCCTCCAGATCCTCGCGGATGTTCTGAGCGTTGACGTTCAAACCTCCTGTGAGTCGCAACCAAACTTGGTATTCAAAGTGCGCCTACTCAAGCCTAATCAAAAGGTGGTCCGCCTATGTATGTTTGGGGCTGTATCTGTATATCCCTTGTTATCATTCTATTTATTTTCTTATTGACATTGTCTGCTGAATGAGAATGTGTTTTTTTGCCGAGGCATCTCCTAGCCCACCCCTACAGCAGCAGCCTGGGTTCCTGAAAGGGACAGCCGGACGCGTTTGGCATTCTGTTCACGGAGATTCAAGGCCCGAAGAAGAATGTTGCTAGTATCTACTCCTTGTAGGTTCTCGTGGTTAAACTGTTAAACTCTAGGTCGACAGACAATAAAGAATATATATTTTCTAGTATTAGAACAAAAAATAGGATGTGATGCCTTGGGAGTTTACGATCTACGTCTAGTCATGCAAAGAGCTTGGAATTATGAGGTTGAACTCTTAGACCAAAAGCTTGGACAATAACAACACCCTCGAATTTGGACCAGCTCCTGTGATCTTGGTGGCGATGACCAGCTCCTTTCTGCGGCTCTTGTCCTTGGCGAGCCATCTGCCGATGATCTCCTCAGTGAGCCCCTCGGGCCTCACGGCATCCGATGGGATGGGGTACTGCTCCGCAGTGTCCACCAGGTTCACCCCACCTGGCATGGCCCATCCAGCAACTTTGTCACCTGCTGTTGAGCAACCCCGGCTTGTGGTATCTGTTAAAAGGCGAAACACCCCGCAAACATGTGGCAAGGAAAACCCACCTTCCAGGATGGCCCTGTCCATCATCTGATGGCACAGCGATTCATCTGGCGCATTGAAGTCAGTGCTCCCCCAGCGCTGCGTTCCCAAACCCATCTCGGAGACGAGAATGTCACTGCTGCCCAGCTTCTTCCGTCGAATGCCCTGCAGCACCAAATGCCAACTACCAACAAGACCACAAACATGTGAATCCCTTCGATGCGAAGACTCGCCTGCACAACCTTCACTTCCGCCCGGGCAACGCGGGCGGCCCCGGCCGCAACAGCGGCGCTGCCCACCGCCCCGGCAGCCCGCCAGAAGCGGCCGCGCGACACCGCGCGCCGCGGGGCGCGCGCAGCGCGCGGGGCGCGAAGCTCAGCGCGGGCCTGGAGACCCAGCACCGCGACGGGGCCATGGCCCGGGACCAGGGCGCTCGGCATGGCTGGCTCAAAGCCGAAAGCCTGAAACAAGCGCCATGGCCATGGCACCAATTGTCTGCAGCCTGACGGGCATCGTAGTTTTTCCCACCTGCCTTCAAGCGCTGGTTGAAGGTGGCCTCCGCCTGTAGCACTTGCGGGGAAAAAGGGCAGGCAAGACAAAGTACCATTCAGCATTTGAGACCATTTGCTTGGTGGGTGTACATAATTGTCGTGGCGGTGGTGGTGATTGTCGTGGCAATGGCAGTCAGCAGTAAGTACTATACATGTAGTATTTAGCACCGTGGCACGTAGGTACGCAGTCAGTAGTAGTTCACGCTTCTGCTGATTCTTGCCAGCTGTAATACATGGACGACAATGGCAACCCACCTTTCCAGTTGACGCATGGCCAGTTTAGAGGGAGAACGCTTGATGCCAGCAAGCCAGGTATCACAACGTATGCAGGTATATAATGACGAATGATTGTATGACAAACCAGCCGGTCTTGTTACATGAGGTACATGACATCCACTGCGACTGTCTTGCATAGCCTGGAAAATGCACACTGAACAACTGGCAAAAACATGTTGGAGCATTAACCATAGCAGTGCAACACGCGTCCTGTGAGGAACCAATTGTGTCACGCGGTGCGCTTGGGCCAGCGAGGGCCAAGCCGGCCTCTGCAATGTCGGCCTCGCTCACCCCGGACTGCTTCGCCAAGAAGATGGATGCCTCCCACTTGGCATGCCCCGTGCATGACACCAGGAAGTTACTCTTCCCGCACCACTAACCGTATCCGTCTTCTACACACCCCTTGAAGTGGCCATCACCCACCTGCAGTACAGAGTCGTCATCGCCGTTGGCTGCAACCTCTGGCAGGCAGGCATCCAAGGCCCAAATTCTATCACTGCCTCCACTACCAGGTGCACTGATTAATTACTCCAAGCATCAGAGCGAAATGACACACCTCCTTGCTGCCACAAGGTGCGCCAAAGAAAATGCATCCGCCATGAAAGGGGCCCTCGTTCAGGTCCAAATGGCAAAGCCAACCTCGATCCCCGGCTCCCGCCTTCAACTCCCGGAGTGAGACCAAGCGTCTCAACGCCTCCTCGATGGCTCGTTTCGTTTGCTTTGCCGGGAAGACACGAAGGCCGCATTCAAAAGCTGCGTCGCAGGAGGCAAGATGAGACGTGCCCGTCTGAAGTTGGGATCCTGGACGATCCTGGGATCTGAGCGAAGGGGTTGCCTCAAGCACCGCCCCACCTTTGATCCCGTTCTGGACTGGCTGGCTGCACGGATGTCTCACTCCGTCCTCTGCCTCCTCCACGGTGCTATTCATAACGCCTGCATCGTTGGCCTGCGAGGCATGTCTTACTTTCATTGGATGCGCCCCCTAACCCCCTGGTTACTCACATGCAGCCTTGTTTAGGGCAAACTAACAAGAGGGGGCTTAGATCCTATCATGACTGTTGTCGCCTTCAACCGCATTCCTCTGGTTTCAGAACCGTTTATGCATTGTGCGCGGTCATTCTGTGTTCCACTGGTACTTCCCCAAAGCCATTGCTGCATGCAGAACCGTTCAACAAAAAGCCCCGCATTCCTGCCAAACATCAGCCCAAGCCGGCGGTCGCGCAGAGCTCTCAAATCTCGGCTCAGTGTCACGCGGTCAAACTCAGACTCAAAACACGCCTGATCTTCTCCCATCAACCCCGCAAACAAACTCCCCCATAAGCCCCAAACCATCCCACGCCCGATTCACACATTCCCTTTTTGACACGGTAGTGCAGGGATCCCTCAATCGGAATACCACCCCACATGTGCATAAGGCCCGGCCCCCATCGACTCCTCTATCGACGGCTCCGCCTTGTTCAGCGCTGTTTCCAGCGCGGCCTCGTCCGCCTGGCTGATCGCCTCCGCCAGCGCCCGCGCCTTACCAATTCCCGGCCGGAGCGGTTGGACCGCGCTGTGTTGGCCCCCTTGGACAGGAAGCCGGAAGCAGGCGGACACACTTCGGGTCGCAAAAGATGTCGCCAGTGACTTAGGGTCATGGCATCTCAGAAATGCTTTGATTAAGGAGGGCGGGATGCCCGATCACTTCTGGGGTGGGGCATCCACCACGTTGATTTTTCCAGGGTCGAAATTGTGTCGAGACACCTGGAAATGTGAAACCCCACTCTCGGGAAGGGAACATGATATAACATGACACCAAACCACAGGGGAGATCACAACCATCGATCCAGTTCTATAGTTTGTTGGACGCGGGAGAGAGACATTTGCGTGGCAGTGTGGAAACGTCGGCCTGTTATGTTCTCTGGATTTTAGCAACTTCTTGTCAACACTGCGCAGCCTTGTCACAATGATCTGCCAAGTTCCAGACCATGTCAGAATCTGGCCTTCGTCATGCGAGTTGCAGCGGGTCCCAGTAAAGCGCTACCAAATCCTTGGACATAAAAATGGACAAGCAATTGAACCTGGCCAGGTCGTGGGCAAGAAATGACGCCACTTGCCTCTCGCAGCGGCCATTACAGTAACTGCAGGAAGCCGCTGAGACATACGAATTCACAAGATGTCATAATGTTCGCAACCAATCACACAAACGAACAGCACAAGGCCCAAACAAAACACAACAAACCGAACCAAAAAACATCAGCCTCAAGGATCCACCGTACAAATATCCGCCGACATTGCTCGGCGTGTCGGACACCTAAGAGAGGATAGAGGATAACCCCCCCCCCCAAACCCCCCCCCACCCGACGTCTGATACGTGGGGGGCCCCCCCCCCCCCAAGGACCGTGCGGCAATTTGATGACGTTCCACTAAACGTAGTCTTCGGGGACCCGGTGTCGCAAAACAGGGGTCCCAGGCTCGATTCCCCCTGCCGGCTTTTTTGCTGGCTTGGGCTTCCTGCATCCTTTTGCCGAAAATCTGGAAAAACTCTGTGTTTTTGGACATCATCTTTGCGAAAACGCTGGAAAAACAGTGTTTTTTGCGGGAAATACTGGGGAGCAAAGGGGAAGTGCAAGGATACATACATACATACATACAGACATACATACATACATACATTACATTACACAACATCACATTACATTACTTTAAATTACATCACATTACATACATACATACATTACATTACATTACATTACATACATACATTACATTACATTACATTACATTACATTACATTACATACATACATACATACATACATACATACATACATACATTACATACATACATACATACATACATACATACATACATACATACATACATACATACATACATGCATACATACATACATACATACATTACATACATACATACATACATTACATACATACATACATTACATTACATTACATACATTACATTACATTACATTACATTACATTACATTACATTACATTACATTACATTACATTACATTACATTACATTACATTACATTACATTACATTACATTACATTACATTACATGCATACATGCAATACATACATACATACATGCATGCATGCATGCATGCATACATACCTACCTACCTACCTTACATACATACATACATACATACATACATACATACATACATACATACATACATACATACATACATACATACATACATACATACATACATACATACATACATACATACATACATACATACATACATACATACATACATACATACATACATACATACATACATACATACATACATACATACATACATACATACATACATACATACATACATACATACATACATACATACATACATACATACATACATACATACATACATACATACATACATTACATACATACATACATACATACATACATACATACATACATACATATACATACATACATACATACATACATACATACATACATACATACATACATACATACATACATACATACATACATACATACATACATACATACATACATACACATACATACATACATACATACATACATACATACATACATACATACATACATACATACATACATACATACATACATACATACATACATACATACATACATACATACATACATACATACATACATACATACATACATACATACATACATACATACATACATACATACATACATACATACATACATACATACATACATACATACATACATACATACATACATACATACATACATACATACATACATACATACATACATACATACATACATACATACATACATACATACATACATACATACATACATACATACATACATACATACATACATACATACATACATACATACATACATACATACATACATACATACATACATACATACATACATACATACATACATACATACATACATACATACATACATACATACATACATACATACATACATACATACATACATACATACATACATACATACATACATACATACATACATACATACATACATACATACATACATACATACATACATACATACATACATACATACATACATACATACATACATACATACATACATACATACATATACATACATACATACATACATACATACATACATACATACATACATACATACATACATACATACATACATACATACATACATACATACATACATACATACATACATACATACATACATACATACATACATACATACATACATTACATACATACATACATACATACATACATACATACATACATACATACATACATACATACATACATACATACATACATACATACATACATACATACATACATACATACATACATACATACATACATACATACATACATACATACATACATACATACATACATACATACATACATACATACATACATACATACATACATACATACATACATACATACATACATACATACATACATACATACATACATACATACATACATACATACATACATACATACATACATACATACATACATACATACATACATACATACATACATACATACATACATACATACATACATACATACATACATACATACATACATACATACATACATACATACATACATACATACATACATACATACATACATACATACATACATACATACATACATACATACATACATACATACATACATACATACATACATACATACATACATACATACATACATACATACATACATACATACATACATACATACATACATACATACATACATACATACATACATACATACATACATACATACATACATACATACGAGAGAGGGAGATTGGGGAGAGAGTGGCTTGGGGGGATGGGGAGGATGGGGAGCGGAGGGAGGGAGAGAGGACGACAGAACACACCAGGGAGACAAGGGAGAGAGGAAGAAGGAGAAAAGGGAGAGGACAATGTCGGCGGACTGAGCCGGAGGCTCTAAAGTCAAAGAAACCATAGGCCCTGCCCCCCCCCCCCCCCCCCCCGGACCCCGGACGCGAATTCGAGGCTCCCTGCTGCTTCCAGGGCCCGGCGCTTGGCCGCAGCGGCATCGGTGCCAGTTCTGGCTGCCACCTCGGACGGGCGGCGCCTCCCAGACCTTCCGAAAACCTGGGAAACTTCCTAAATCTTAAGACTTTTCAAGGAGGAAGGGGATAGGCTTTCTTCCATGGCTTACCTGACCTGCACCAGTTTGAAGAACACGCAAGCAAGGGAATGAGGAGAGTCTACAACGAGAAGGGTGTAAAATAACTCATCTCAAGGACTCTTGAACGGGGGGTTGGCATATGTTGAAATTGAAACGCCTGGGCCCCCGGTAGCAACCCAAACTGACTGTTCAAACCGGGTCTGCCCTCTTTCGAAGGGCACATTAAATGTTCGGCTGACAGATTAGGCGAAATTTTGCTCCCACTTGCCACGCAGCTCAGCCGACATCCAACAAATTCGAGAGATCCGCAACGGCGCAACAAAACCTCCCTGGCGCACGCTGCCCTAAGGCAACGACTGAGATGCGCGGCAACTTGGCCTCAACTCCGTGATTTGAGGAAGATACAGAAGCCATGACATGGTCTCCCAAATAGAAAGGAGTTAATGGCCTATTATCTGTCAATCACTTTTCATATTAATTCCTCACCATGTACTTCCTCATATTAATGCCTTAGGAATCTTGTCTTTTCGTAATAGCTGATCTTATATTTATTGTTCTTTCTTTTTCTATTTTATATTACTATCTTATATTAGGATCTTATCTTCTTAGAATTAACTATTTTATTTTAGTGTAATAGCTTGTGGATAGCGGCGGGAATAAAGGGAGCCAAGAGAGATTTCTTTTCCTATCTTTTTCTATTTAATAATTCACTTTGGTTACGTTCTTAAGAATCTGGAATGCATGACGTGGAAGATGGGAACTGACGAAGGATGAGGAAGGGGAATTATAGATGGGAGAGGTATCCAATGGACGGTTTCCTGTAGACTAACCCTGTATCCACTTCCTGTCAAGACTCGGAGTTAGTGAGGAGAGTGAATGACTGGGAAGTGAGTAACCATGCATTCCGGTCCCTTTCCATACCTCTCTATCTCTCGTACACACCCTTCCGCTCCAGCCGGTGGTAGAATGAGATGGTAAAAGGAATAGAATGGAACGCTTGGGAGCGGGAATTAGGTGTCTTTCATTCCCATCTTCACCCTCCATTTCCTCTGTCATTACTATCCTGGAAATGGTGAGGGATGAAGTGTTGGGAATGGAAAGGAGGTGACTTCCTCCGTCAGAACCATCCCACATACACACCGTCCTCCGGCCTATTCTTGGAGTTAATGGGATAACACGTTGTAACGACTAAAAGGAGTTGGGATTAATGCGGTCTGTTCCTCGCTTCAAAGCTGCGGGCCATCCCCAAAGTGACTTTTCTATATCTCTTTCCACTTCATCTTCTCTCACTATCTCGTCAGTCAGCATTGAATGTCTTTCCTATGACTCACCGTTCACTCCCCACCATGTACTTTCCATTCCTCACCTTTGTGGCTCGGAGAGACGAAGGAACGAGGAAGACGAACAAAGGAAAAGGAATGGTGGGAAGGGTTAGATGGTGAGCGGGAATGAAGGGAAGGCCAAGGGCCGGGATACCGCTCTCCATCATACCATAGTGCGTGAGCTCTGAGTAGGCATCCCGGAAAAAAAGAAGGTGAAAATGCAACATGACATATATGTACAATACATACACAAGTGTGGTACAACCTGTTCAAGCTTGATGCAGCAATCCAGCGTCGAGTTGCTGAGGTCTGCAATTGGAGGATGGGCAATGAATACAGTAGCAGTGCTGTCTAGCAAAGCCACGGTGCTCACGCTGGTTGCGTGTTTTAATCTGTCTTCCTTCTCGCGCTGAAGCGCTGGCAAATAATGTCTGGGAGACACGCCTGATTTACCCCCAATCCTACATGCGAACTGGCAGTAACAAGCCACTAGGAACATGGCTGCAGCAGGGCGGTTCCGTGCGAACTCGTCCCGTAGCATGGTCACCTGCATCGCGGCAATTTTAGCAGTCAGTTGAATAGCGGCGCACGCTGCATGACCCCGTGTGCTTCGTACCTTGTTGCAAAGGGGGCTACGAGCTGCTGCACTATGTTTATTTGGCTTGGCTGTGACAACTCCTCACAACCGATGCCGTTGTTGACCTACCTTCCAACCAGTCTTTCAATGCAAGTCCAACTTTGCACTTGGCGACACTAGGCAAGCACAGGCCAAGCTTGCCTTGGCTTTGGGTGACGCCCTCGCCTCTTGCACCAAAGTGCAGCGCTGCCGCAGGCGACAGTTGCAACCCTCCAGCAAGAGACTTGGGCCGGCCTGCTTCTCCACTTCCACCGGCAATGGGCCAAGGCTGCAAGTACCTGGCCAAACTTAATGTCACACAAAATGATGCCGGCTCCAACTTGTTGGCTTGTCACTAAACGCACCTGGCCAGCGGCCCGGAAACAAAACAAAACAATCCAAACGCGCCAGCTTCCACGTCCTTGCTTCTGAAAGGACCTTACCTGGAGGCGCAGTACCACACAAGGGCTGGCGGAATGAATGCGGCACGGCCCCGCTACCAGTCCCGCAATGGCAAGCCCAAGAGTCCCTGCCAGCTTGGACAAGTTCAGCCGTAAGAGTGATGAGACTTTCTTGCAGAAGGCATGCAGCCTTGATTCTAGACAAATGCTATGAGCACGGGACCCGAGCTTTATGCTTTGGAGCACAGCTGAACAGGTCCAACTGTCAAAATGCTTTTCACAGCGAAGGCGTGGCACGTGCCTCTGCCACAATGTTCGGGTGGAAGCCGATCCAGTCCCTGGTTGGAGTGAGCTGGTGGGGTCATGGCACTGAGTCTCTGTCGTGGGTAAGAGTTTAGACCTTCTGCTTGGCCCCACTTACCACAAGAAAAGCAGCACAAATGAAAACAACCAAGAAGGAACGTGACACCTGTGAGAGAACAAAGCTGAGGACCCAAGATTGCCTGAAAGCAGAGCTGCATGCAAAGCCTGCCTCAACAAAGCGCTTTCTGCCATCAGCCAGGTTGGCAAGTGGGCCTGAAGGAGCGCACTCCCGTGTCACACGTTACCAGACATAGGCCCACCACACGTCATGGAAACAGAAAAGAAAACTCTGACTGCACTTGCAGCTCTTGCTGAGGCATTGGCCAGGATGACGCAAAGCTTTCTCGCTCGCGTCACCGCCTGCGGGCGCAAGGACAAGAGCCGAGGGGCTTTTCGCCAACAGCTGGCTGAGGTGTGCACCACGTTCAAGCGACGCCAGTCGCTAACGAAACCAACATCTCCACCTGAGTCTGTCAAAAGAAGTGGACTTGACAAAGAGCCACTGGCCATGGGCCAAGCGAGACCTTAAGAAAGCTGAGGGTGCTCGAATATTTGAGTCTGCCGCGCGGGTTGGCGCGAACAAGGCTCAGGATGATGAAATCCTCGCGCCGGCAGGGCAACAAGGCCCCGAATCCGAGCAGCAGGCCAGTGGCACAAGACAGCAACTGTATGCGCCCTTGGACGCCAACGATCAAGCCGTTTCGGACAGCTGGCCAGTGGAAGGTGTGGAAGAACGCAACTGGGCATGTTGAACACCGCGGACAGGCTCTGTGTGGTCAATGCCCTATGAGGATGCCCTTTCAAGCTTGTGCTTGTTAAATGACGGAAGCCGCCAGGCACAGCCTCAGAACAAGGTCTCCTTCTGACAACCCTGGAAGGCATCCACAGAGGAGACCTGGACCTCGTTGCGGCAACCAGGCTACCGCACAAGGCCTGCAAACTCTTCAAACTTATTCAAAGCATGGTATTATTCGCCGGGCGACAAACACAACGCTGGACAGCCCTTGCCGTTGTTGTCGCCTGTCTGGGGGCGAGTCAGACCCGCAGAAACCTACCTCTTGGGCCACCCGCCGCATCCCTTGCACCGGCAGGCAGGGCCTCCGGCACACGTCAGGCCCTTGCATGTTCCTTCAGTTCCTTGAGGGAAATGGAGCACATATGGCTCGGGACTTTGAGCACGCTTGGGTCGGTGGTTTTGAGGGCCCTTTGGGGATCTGCCAGGTGGGTGAAACCTCATCGACGCAAGCCGTCCAAGGCCCAGGCGTTGCGGATGTCATTCACCTGCAACCACATGCCAGGCCCCCTCCCGCCGCTTACGTCCAAGGCCCTGATCTGATACACTCTTGAGACTTGATTGTGACATGCGGGAAATGGGAGCGCAATCATTGTGACTCCATGCGTTCGGCAAAAGCCTCCCTGAACATTGAACGGTGGGGGAAGCTTACTGAAGCCATCTCAAGCCCTTGTGGCCTCCTACCGAAGTGCGCTGGTTTTTATGCTAGCTCTTGCCAATGCGATGGAGAAGATTGCAATGCCCCGCTGCCCCACAGCTTTCCGCCAAGATTTCAAAGCGGGCGTTCTTGCTGGGACAGCCTCTCATCTTCCTCCTCTACAATGATTACCTCATCTAAGACGTGATTGATGCCAAAATGCACATGAAAACTAATCAATCATATACTGATATAGTTTTTGACGCCCCCCCCCCACCAAAAAAAAAAAGCTCGGGCGATATCCCCAACAGCACCACACCCTCCCAGAATGCTCGCGGAACGCCCGGGACCATCCTTACCGCCGGTGTTGCTGAGGATGCCGCCTTGTAAAGCAAAGCTACGAGTGACAGCGCAATCTCGCCCTGATCGGGGCCCGCCGGCGCAATCGGGGCCCGATCGGTGCCCGACGGCGCCATCGGGGCCCGATCGGCCCGACAGTGCAATCGGGGCCCGATCGGGGCCCGACGGTGCAATCGGGGCCCGATCAGGGCCCGACGGTGCAATCGGGCCCCGATGGTGCAACCCCAGCCACCCATACTACAGCTCAACGCCGGTTTTCCTTAGCATGCGGATTGCAACTGTATCTATAGCAAAACTAGGCAATGCCAGCTTGGTACAATTTGTCGGGCCCCGATCGGGGCGCGATGGCGCAATCGGGCCCAAACGGTGCAATTGGGCAGTGCAATCGGGCACCTCGCAAACCGTTCTCACGCAACTTTCGTGGAGCTCAGCGTGAAACTTTGCTGGAACCTTTCCTCAGGGCTGCCCCATAGCTTTTGCAGAATTTGCTGGAAACCTTCTGACCTCATAGCCCTCGCAGCCTCGTGGAATTCTTGGAACCCAAAGCCCACCAAGCAGCAATGCCAAGCATTTTTCCCGGAAGCATTGCGAAGGGTTCTTCTTCTAAAAGCGGCTGCCAACTTCACCTGCCAACTTCTCATGCCAACTTGTCGAGAGTTACTTCACCTGCCTACTTCTCATGTCAACTTTTTGAGAGTTACTTCACCTGCCAACTTCTCATGTCAACTTTTCGGCTGTTATCTCATTCTACTAAAAGCACAAGCTAATTTGTCGGGTGTTACTTCACTATCCTAAAAACACAAGCTAACTTTTCTGTTCTACCTTCACATCTCGACTCTTAATTCTTCTTCTTTTTATGGCGGGGGTAGGCCCGACGGGAGCTTACGAAACGCACCCCTCTGCGGAGATCGTGCGTGTCGAAGCGCTCTCGCTGTGGCGCCGTGCGAATTTGTCTTGAGCCCGATAACCCTCTGCGGGGATCGTGCGTGTCGAAGCGCTCTCGCTGTGGCGCCGTGCGAATTTGTCTTGAGCCGGCGAACCCTCTGCGGAGATCGTGCGTGTCGAAGCGCTCTCGCTGTGGCGCCGTGCGAATTTGTCTTGAGCGCGGCGAACCCTCTGCGGAGATCGTGCGTGTCGAAGCGCTCTCGCTGTGGCGCCGTGCGAATTTGTCTTGAGCCCGAACCCTCTGCGGAGATCGTGCGTGTCGAAGCGCTCTCGCTGTGGCGCCGTGCGAATTTGTCTTGACCTTGGCGAACCCTCTGCGGAGATCGTGCGTGTCGAAGCGCTCTCGCTGTGGCGCCGTGCGAATTTGTCTTGACCTTGGCGAACCCTCTGCGGAGATCCTGCGTGTCGAAGCGCTCTCGCTGTGGCGCCGTGCGAATTTGTCTTGAGCCCGATGAACCCTCTGCGGGGATCGTGCGTGTCGGATCGCTCTCGCTGTGGCGCCGTGCGCATCTGTCTTGAGCCCGATGAACCCTCTGCGGAGATCGTGCGTGTCGAAGCGCTCTCGCTGTGGCGCCGTGCGATTTTCTTGCTCGCGAAACGGCTTTTGGAAGTTGTCTCGTGGTGTGCGCGCCTGCTTTCGCAATCCCGCGGTCCCGGGTTCGATTCCCCCCTGGTCCGCGGCAGCTCCGGCTTGAAAATCGCAGCTTTTAAGTACAAACGTAGTACGCGGAGCGTGCTCCTGCAGCTCCGGCTGGAAAATCGCAACTTTTAAGTACAGACGTAGTACGCGGAGGCTGCTGCAGCTCCGGCTGGAAAATCGCACTTTTTAAGTACAGACGTAGTACGCGGAGCGTGCTCCCGCAGCTCCGGCTGGAAAATCGCAACTTTTAGATACAAATGGCTGGAAAATCGCAACTGTAAATTGCAAATGTAGCACGCGGAGCGCCTCCGCCGCTCCAGCTTTTTGAGGGTTAATTACTTCACCTGCCAGTTTCTCATGCCGAAACTTCGAGAATTACTTCACCTGCCAGCTTCTCATGCCACCTTTTCGAGAGTTACTTCACCTGCCAACTTCTCGTGCCAACTTTTCGAGGAGTTACTTCACCTGCGAGCTTATCATGCCAACTTTTCGAGAGTTACTACACCTGCGAGCTTCTCATGCCAACTTTTCGAGAATTACTTTACCTGCCAACTTCTCATGCCAACTTTTCGAGAAATACTTTACCTGCCAACCTCTCGTGGCAACTTCACCTGCCAACTTTTCGAGAATTACTTCACCTGCCAACTTCTCATGCCAACTTTTCGAGAAATACTTTATCTGCCAACCTCTCGTGGCAACTTTTCGAAAAATTACTTCACCTGCCAGCTTCTCATGCCAACTTTTCGAGAGGTACTTCACCTGCCAACATCGCCTGCCAACTTTTCGAGAGTTACTTCGCCTGCCAACTTCTCGCGCCAACTTTTCGAGAATTACTTCGCCTGCCAACTTCTCATGCTAACTTTTCGAAAGTTACTTCACCTGCCGGCTTCTCACGCCAACTTTTCGAGAGTTACTTCACGCGCCATCTTCTCGTGCCAACTTTTCGAGAATTACTTCACCTGCCAGCTTCTCACGCCAACTTTTCGAGAGTTACTTCACCTGCCAACTTCTCATGCCAACTCTTTGAGAGTTATTTCACCTGCCAACTTCTCATGCCAACTTTTCTCTTGAGTTACTTCGCCTGCCAACTTCTCATGTCAACTTTGCGAGAATTACTTCACCCGCCAACTTTGCCAGCCAACTATTCGAGAGTTACTTAACCTGCCAGCTTCTCATGCCAACTTTTTGAGAATTGCTTCGCCTGCCAACTCCTCATGCTAACTTGGCGAGAGTTACCTCACCTGCATCAACTTGCCTCTATGCTTCCGGGCCACTCGTCGTCTAGTTTTTTACTCTGCTGCACCGTGAGTTCCGCAGCGACGTGATCTGATTTGCCACAGAGCCAACATTTGCCTGAGCAAGTGAGCAAGTCACAAAACAGTGAAAGTGTGCTAAAAACCATTGATTTCGGTTTTGCTTAGTGTTCCGCCCATGAGCAAAGCGATCTTGATCCGATGGCTTTTCAGACGACGGGCGCACGACACACCCTTGGTGGAGCAGTGTGGAGCCTTGTGGAACCCGTGTGGAATCCTTGCAGAGCTTTGTGGAACCCTGTGAAACCTCAGGGCCCACAGCATTCGCAGAATCTTGTGGAACCCTGAAACCCTCATACAACCTTACCTCAAACCACCCCGGCCCACCCCGCAGCCCTCGCAGAACCTCGTGGGACCCTGCTAGAACCGTGCTGGAATGGAACCTTACCTTGCAAAACCTGGTAGGGTTCAGGTGGAATTCTCATGGAACATTACCTCAAACCAGCCCGGACCGCTGGTGGAACCCTGGTGAAACCCTGGTGGAACCCTCGTGGAACCTTCCCCGGACCACGCCGCGCCCTCGAAGAAATCTGGTGGAACCCTCGTCCGGAGCACGACGGGCTGGTGGAACCCTGGTGGAAACCTGGTGGAACCCTCGTGGAACCTTACCTCAAACCACCTCGGACCACCCTGCAGCCCTCGCTGGCAGAATTCTGGTGGAAATCTGGAACATTCGTGGAACCTTCCTCAAACCAGACCACCCCAGCCCTCGAAGAAATTGCTGGAACCCTGGTGGAACCCTCGTGGAACCTTACCTCAAGCCACCCCGGACCACCCTGCAGCCCTGGTGGAACCCTCGTGGAACCTTACCTCAAACCACCCAGACCACCCCGCAGCCTGGAACCCTGGTGGAACCCTGGCGGAACCTTGTGAAACTTCCTCAAACCCGCAGCCCTCGAAGAAATTGGTGGAACCCTGGTGGAACCCTGGTGGAACCCTGGTGGAACCCTCGTGGAACCTTACTTCAAACCACCCCAGACCACCCCGCCCTTGCAGAACCTGGTTGGTGGAACCCTGGTGGAACCCTGGTGGAACCCTGGTGGAACCCTGGTGGAACCCTGGTGGAACCTTAGCTCAGGGTCGCCCCGAACCACCCCGGAGCCTATCTGGGCTGAGACCCCAAAGCTTTCAGCTGTTGGGGAAAAACGCTAAGCCGTGGTAAAGTGCCAGCGTCATGCTACATGGGCCCGCCAAACCTGCCTGAGCAGCGTAGGGTGTGATGACACCCACCTCCTCGCCCTTCAGCCCTCAGAGGCTGTGCGAAGCTTCAAACGGCTGGCGTTCCCTTTTTTCCATCTGGCTGTGGCTCAAAAATAGGTACCTTAAATGGAGCCCTGGCAAATGGAACCAAGGACTAAAAGCTGCGGTCCCCTGGTAGTTTAAGTGGCTCAAAAAAGTGGTACCAAAATGGCACCTTGGTATATGGAACCAAAGACAACAACCGGCGTAATCCCAGCTCTTCAATTTTGAGCCATACCCATCTTTTTTCGGACACTGTCGGATTGAACTATCTCGTCCGGTAGCCTGCGACCCCGCGAATTTGCAAGAGGTGGCCTCCACTGCGCAAAGGAGAAACAATTTCTACACAAAGATCCACCCACAAAATGTAAACACGCAGCGTATACGGCGCGGAGGCGGCTAATTGGCCCGGCAAATCCTGGAACGACTGTGGTGGTTGGGTCACCCGAGAGCGCTACTGCCCCAACAAGTTGCGCATAGCGCGGCCCAGCGGCCAAAGCAAATTTAAGGCTCTGACTCCCCAACAGCCTCATCAGCTGCCTCCAGAAGCAGGCAGCGGCCGAAAACAGAGCAGTTGTCCAACCTGAAATCAAGGAGCCACATGAAACAACACGCGCATGGTTGGCAAACAGATTGGAATGCAAGTTGCCAAATCTCTCCAGTTCATCAGCGCTTCAGCGCCCTCACAGTCTTGCAGCATGGTTGAAGCCTCCAACAAGGGCACGTTCATTTGAACAGACACTAAAAATATCCAAATAGATCCAAATCCCCCCTCCGCAATGTAAGCCTACATTGTCAAGGGCCCAAAGATTCTGGAAGCAACACCTGCTCTAAAGTGTCACCCTTTCACCCCCCTTGTGGGGAAGGTGCCCAAGCGAATTCTCCTGTCTGTGTCAATTGCTGCCTCCGAGCAAGCTTCACGCTGCTTTTGCTAGGTAGCTCAGTGGTGGCTTCACTTGCTTTTGACTCGGGGATATCCACCACATCGCACTCAGGTGCTGGCTCCACCAGCCAAGCAGCGCCTCGTCATACGGTCGCAGTACCCCCTGGTGAGCTTGCGACAACTCGTGCAGATCACTTTCTTACTTGTCCCCAAACTTTGGGAACAGAAGTGGAACAAGATCCATTGGAAACCCAGCTTTTGACCAATGAGTCTTTTGGTTGAATGCAGTTCGAACCTAGGTGCTTTTGTGTCATCCAAAGTGGAGTACACCGACATGCGGTAAAGCATGGACAGCGCCAGCCGTGGTGCATCCCGACCCATCAGAACTCGTCAAAGAGGAATGACGAGTAGAAAGGGGTGGGCAGGACCCATTCATCCAAACGCCACGGCATCTTTTGGATCCCGTGGCGTGTTGTGTTCTGGCTGATGTCCAATTGCCCCTTCCTATGAAAGCTTCTCACAAAGCGCCATGGCACCGAAGCGACTCCTGTCAAAAGGTCAGGGAACTGCATAGTGAAACGCTGGGCCAAGGCTTCTGAGCTTTGTTTGCCGTGACATGAAAGACCGCTCGAGTGAGCTCGCTGATAGTTCAAACACTTCAACCCACAGCCATCCGAACACGCCAAACAGAGTCTCAATAAGTTTGGGGCATGGCTGTTAAGCAGAACCCGCCTGTGTCTCAAAAGTGATAAAGTTGAAGCCATATGAACACACGTTTTTGCCGAGCCCGGCTTGCAAAACTTGGCCCCCGGCAGCTGGACTCTTCTGCGTTCCGCTTGGAGGAGCCGCGGGACTGCTCCCGGGCCTGCGAGGTAGCTGGAAGGAACGTACTGAGGGTACACCCCAGGGATAACATGAGGTTGCACTCAATTTGTATATGCGAACAATGAAGAACCATGAGGAATGTCTGACTTTGAAGGACAGAAATGCCCGTCACAGCTGAGGGCATGTTGATCTGAGCCGCACTCTTCTTTGGAAAGAGGCCGGGGCACAGTCCAGAGATCTTGCCTTGCTCCCTCTTAGACATTGGTCACCGCTGGCCTGTAGCTTGGCAGCCAAGTTGCAAATCCGCCCGGTTGAACCCGCTTCTCCATTCAAAGCTTCCTCCACCGCACTCTGTTTTTAGCTGAAGTTCGACTCGCCATGCAGTTCGCAGGCGTGTCTATCTAGCGTGTTGCTCCGTGAGAGCAGGATGCTCAGCGGCGGCGACGGCCACGCTTTTCCAGAACAGAGCTCCAATGCTCCAACTTGAAGCAAAGCAACAAATGCTGGCAACCCTTGAATTGCTCTCCCGTGGCAGTTCCCTGAAACTGCCTCAAAGGTAGTTTGGCAACAATCACCCCGTAGCAAAGTGGCATCACTAGTAAAGCGCCCGTGTTAACTTGTTGAGTCATGGGGACTAGTGATGGAGCTGCCTTTGCACCAGCTGAGTCTTCTACGAGCATGCACGCGCGTTGGCAATGCCTTGCTCAACGCCTCGCTGGTGGACATGAGCACGCGCTGAACTGGACATTCTCGCAATGGCACTTGCCCAGCATGGATTCGCTATGCATGGAGATGGTCAATCAATCTTGGGAATGGGGGGTGTCCACCAGGCCTCCGCGCACGGTTTGAGAATCCCTTGCTGGGGGTCGCCTGGGAAACGACTGGGTTTGTATGCTAAACAGCCATGGGACACGCATAAATCAAGGCCAGGGGCAACCCTTTGTCAGGAGGGCATCCAAGTCCACGCCTGGAAAAACGCTAGTAAGGTGTCTTCGCAGCACGTGCGAACCAGCGGGCTGCTGATGGGTTTCCATCAGCAGAGCGAGGCATCTAAAAAGTTGATGCGCTCTGCGGGCAAGCCACGGGCGGTCGCCCTTCACAGACCGACTTGCAGAACCAGCTGCCGGCGATTAGTGCGCGACTCAGGGTCAAGCGACCGCGCTTCTGCGGGGTGGGCTCGCTGTCGGGCACAATCAACTTCAGCTGGATGACTTCTCGCCCCTGGCAGGCGCTCTGCTGAAGTCATATGCCCAATTCGCACCATCGCAAGCAGCCCATCAACATCAAACGAAGCTCCCACTAGGGCCACTACTGCAAAAAAGAAAGCAGCAGCAGAACTAGTTGCTGGCAACAGCACCAAATTCGAGCCCACACATTGGTTACAAAGCAAGCTGGCCGCACTGCAGCCACACAAAGGCTAGCTGGGTGAACATTTGCTAATAATTGTAGCATCTGGGCTCCTACCGGCTCCCTCTGACATCCCTGTACCATCCGCAGGCACAAGACAGCCTGCTTGCAAAGGAAGCACACCCAAGCAATGATTGCGTCGCCCTCCTCCCCCCATCCGGCTTTTCAGGGTGCTCGTCGGCGAGTTTCCTCCCAGCGTCCCAGTGGGAAACCTGGCAGGGGCGACGTTGGGCATCAACCTATGATGCGGACGGGGGGGTCATGCCTAGTGGCGGGCAACAACGGGGCGCGGGGAACGTGAAAATAATTTTAAGTCATGATCATTGGGGAAGCACGTGTGCAATTATCTGTAACCTGTCAGCTTCTCTCTCTCTCTCTCTAGCTGGTGGCAAGGGTGCTGCCCCACCTAAATGCTCCCAGTTAATGTCCCGCAAGACTCGCAACTCGGGGTCTCCTTCACACACTCTCGACAGCAACCCGATTGGAAGAAAGGGTTCTCCTGCTATTGGCGCCGTCTTGCGGGTCACGCATCGGCCCTGCCTCGCACCTTGGGCGTTTCTCAAACTTCAGAGCTGCTCCAGGCACGTTTACAATCAGAAGGGGCTCCCAGCTTTGAAACCCACCTTTTTGTCATCCTATCTGTCCGTGCCCTGCCTCTTGTTTCCCCGAGGGTGAGGTGAGCACGCCCCAGCCTGCAGTCAAATGCAAATGTGCCGCAGGAGGGCTTCTAAAATTCGAGAGAAGAGTAGCATGGATGCAGGATGGGGGCCAGCATTGACATGGCCCAAAACCAGATTCGAAACCGGAATTTCATAGGTGTTGCATGATGTTGCTTTGATTTGCTCTGACCAAATCATGTTTTGCAGTCTTACCAAACTCCTGCAGCCTGCCAAGTCAAGGCAAACTCCTCTCCGGCCAGATCGGCGAAAGGCCACATACGAGCCAGCCAGCAGCTTCATCTCCCTGCTGACAACAAAAATACCTACAACATCCACAACCTCCCAAACAAGTTCAAGGTTCAAGGTCCACCATCGAGACTTGCCGTCTCCCTTTGGCAGCCCGGCCGTGCTGCTTTCCAGCTCGCCACTGGCCCAGGAAGACTCGGCCATCCGGCCAGGTGTAGCGACCGCTGCCCTCCTGGAGCACTGAAACCCTGACACATGGAACACATCCTGGAACACACCAATGAGACAAAGCTCATTGCGTTTCCCGTGCAAACGCAGCACCGTTGCCCGGGTCCAAAGCGAGCCCGTTTGGAGATGCCTTCTTCCCATGCTACTTTCCGCTCGCTTTCGACACTCCTTCAGGTCGTTCACATAGCCTCCCTCGTAGACCTTGCCATCTGGCCAGGTGAACCTGTAGCGTGGTTGTTTCTGGGCCTCGGGGTAATATGATGGCTTCCGGGCAGCCATAAAGCCAACAAACACACGATGTAATTCCATGTTGCTTTTGCAAAATGGTGAATGTCAACCCGCGTTTTTGGCCACATGAGGGTCCCAACAACTTTTTGCCTACTGGCATAACTTGGCACAACAGCATGCACTCATGTTGGTGTTCTCCTCCTCGCTTTGAGCAGCGCTGGTTCAACATCGGCTCCAACTAGCAACAAAGAAACTATCATGCCCTGGCCGGCTCAGTCTCAACAAGAGGACATTGTTTTCAGATGTGCTAAATCGGTTCCATCATTATTCTATGGTTGGAACAGGGTGAGGCACAGCCAAAAACTCGCCTCCCGGCGCCCTGCATGCTGCTGGCTGACCATCTGCCGAAATACCTGGGAGCCGAATGCCGCCAAAGCTGTTGAGTGCCAAAAACCTAGAAGCAGATTCTTCCATTCGGCCAGCCATGCCCTCTCCGACCATGAGGACGATGCGCGCAGAGTCGCTTCAGCTCTGCTTGTCACTTCTCACAGCCCAACCGCCAAACGCTGCTGGCAGCTTGTCAGTGGGAACTGCTTTGGGACTTTTATAAGGGCAACCACACAAACACGGCACACGACACATGACAAACAAACAAGCAAACAAGCAAACAAACAGCCACGTTCAGCCTTTTTGCCATCAGTGCTGGGCGCCGCGCTCACGGCCATCGCCTTGGCGAGCGAGCAAGAGAGCGAGAGAGCGAGAGAGAGAAAAAAGGGAGGGGTTACATGCTTAGAACGGACTCAGGGAGCCAAAATTATTTTAAAAAAGGGTCTGCATATTGAGCTTTTCGTAAGAGCTCTTTCCTTGCGGTTTGCCTTCAAGGAAACCACCGCTCCTCCATCTCACAAATGTCACCCAGGACATTCAACCAATGTCAAGCATACAATCTCTGGTGCAGGCACGCAGGATCGGGTTGCCTCTCAGATCAGGCAAGGCACCCCAATTGTACCTAGGCTGCACGCAACCTAGCTCATCAGCAAAATTATGACATGCAGCCTGCAGGCTGAAGCAAACGTACAAGAACTTGGTGGAAGCAAATGGGGTTCCGCAAAGATATACCCTAACATTGACACAAAATTATTCAATAGCTCAGCCTTCTTCGCATCTCACGGGACCTGTGGGCAGGGCCATGCACCCTGGATCACCATGAGTTGCGCCCTGCGCTTGTTTCCAAGCACAAGTCTTGCCGGAGTACTTGCGATATATTACCCTCCCACCAGTTAGCATGGAACCTGACTCCTCGGAAAGGGGCTCCCTCGCCACATCGAAATCCAGAAGTTGGCAAGCCCAAAGCCAAAGGTTCAAAACCACCCCGGCAGGAAATACCCCTGGATTTCTCATCCTGGCAGGGGGCTGGCCATGGCCGCAGATCTCGTTGTTCCTGAAGTCGCCGCAGTAGGTGGAGGAGTCCGTCCAAGTGAAACAGCCCTGACGGCCGATGCTGGAGGCTTGAGTTCATGCTCTCAGGCAAGCCTGTCAGCGCAAACCTCAGAAACCAATGTGGAACCTGAAAAGCATACACTACTTGCTGGCAGTTGCCCCCTGCCCACAATGCTCACATGCACAAGGCAATGAATCAGCGGACCGGAAAACATGTCCCAAGTGGATCCAGGGCGGCACTCCAGTTAAGACTCCCCCTTCTGCCGCCTTACCCTTGACAAAGCAATGCTGGTGGCACGCCTACGTCTTCCAAATACAAGTTTTGCTGTACCAATTTACAGTGGTCCTAGGGCCAACCCTTGTCGCAACACATGGCAACAATCTGAATTGAAATGGCAAATAGTGCCTGCATGAGCCTGACCCATCACCTGTCATCTTATGCTTCCCTCAAGGGAGAGCTAAACAACCTGGGCTGTTCACCCAGCCCACGGCATCACGTGTCCCCTCTCAAACTTGGCGCGTGCAACCCTCGGCAGCCTTGCCGTCTTTGACGCCACGGTCATAGAGACCTGAAGCGGCAAAAGTAGATGCGCAAAACGCAAGACCAGAATGCAGGATGATGTCTGCTTGCCTTTGCCCGGGTGGCCCAGGCGTGTGGCCGCAACACACCCGTAAGTGCAACACCTGAATCAAGAGCCCTCATGATTCATGACTTAAACGTGCAGCAACTAGAGAAACCTGATTCAGCATCAGGCTCACGCTGCCCCTTGCTGGAAGCATCTGGATTTCCCAGCCCACTCAAAACACGCTTGCTTGTTCGCATGTGAGTGCA